CAAGACGGAAGGAAGGAAAGATAGAAGAAGAGAGAGGAAGGAAGGAAAGAAGGAAAGAAGGAAGGAAGGAAAGAGAAGAAAGAAAGAAGGAAGGAAGGAAGGCAGGAAGGAAGGAAAAAAGGACCTATAGGACAGGCTGGCAGTGCGAGAAGTAAGGAAGATTTAGTCTGGGAATAATGCTGATAAAACACCAATGTTTTTAGTTGTTGCTAAATAATATTTACTATGATCAAGGACTTTTCAGTTTCATGCTCTGCCAGGGAGGTGGGGCACAGGAAGTCAGGAGGAAGTAGGGACAGAACACCTGACCCAAAGTAGCCAAAGGGGTATTCCATCCCACAGCACATCATGCCCAGTATAGAAAATGGGAGGAGTCACCCAGAAGGCCCAGATCACTGCTCAGGTTGGGGTGAGTATCAGTCGGCAGGTGGTGAGCAACTGTACTGTGCACTGTGAGAGAAACAGTGTTGTTTTCGCATAACTAGGGATGGGGCTTTGTAGTATTATGGCTTTACAATATTAAAGCTTCAAGATCAATATTAAAGCTATGCAATATTAAGATTTTTCAATATTGGGGCTAAGTTACTAACGGAACAAAACAAAGGGTTTGAGATACCATAACTTAGAAAGACACACTGTGGTTAAAGACAATATTACCTCTGAACAAAAGATACACTCTGTGGTTAAAAAGAATACTATCTTTAAACAACCTATGCAACTAAGCAGATACAGGCTGGTTAAACAGTAAGTTGGGGTACCACATGTCTGCCAGAGAGTTATGAAATAGAACCATAAAAGGAGACAAGTATATAAGAGGAAGGGGCATATGAAACTGAGGAAGGGGAGATGTAACCAGAGGCAGGACAGTTAGCATGTAGATTTTACACGTCAGATAGGCTGTAAACCTTGGAGTACCCAACCAATGGGGAAACAAGGGAGGGAACCTGAAGACGGGATAGGAAATATAAATCATAGTTCTGCTTTTGCTGTGTGTGCCTACTTGCCAGGACGCCTGTTTTTGCAAAAACGTTAATAAATAGCTGCTGCTTCACTGTTGCGTCTACCCTGAGCTTAAGTTTTTATCTAAATACCATTTCTGAAAAGCATCACTTGTGTTTATTGTTTTCTTTTCCATTTCCCCTTTCAATTTTATATTCTCTCCCCTTGTTATTTCCCTTATCATTAATATTATCATTATTGTTAGCTGTAGTGGTTTTGTATTATACCTTAGTTACTGGACTGTTCTTATCTCAACCCATGGGATTTACATTTTTTCTGTTCTTCTCCCCATCACTCCAGGACTGGGGGGAGGGGGGGGGGGGGAAGAAGGGGGGGAGTGAGCAAGTGGCTGAGTGGTTCTGAGTTACTGGCTGGGCTTAAACCACGACACAGGGGAAGTTCAGGTTGGATATAAGGAAGAAGCTCTTTACTGTTCTTTACTGTGAGGGTGGTGAGGGCCTAGAACAGGTTGTCCAAGGAAGTTGTGAATGCTCCATCCCTGGCAGTGTTCAAGACCAGGTTAGACGAAGCCTTGGGTGACATGGTTTAGTGTGAGATGTCCCTGCCCATGGCAGGGGGGTTGGAACTGGATGATCTTAAGGTCCTTTCCAACCCTAACAATTCTATGATTCTATGACAGGACAAGGGGGAATGGCTTTAATCTGACAGAGGGGATATCGAGATGAGATCTTAGGAAGTTCTTCCCTGTGTGAGGGTGGTGAGGCACTGGCTCAGGTTGCCCAGAGAACTTCTACCTCAACCCGAGTCGATATCACCTGCACTTGAAATAAGCTTCCAGAAAAGAAACTCAGATGAGCCCATTTTCAAGACACTAATCCACAGCAGGCTACTTCCTAGAGGACAGGCACCCACCTGTCTAATTCCGTGCCATGAGCTAAAAAAATTCCAACACCAAGTGACTAAACAGGACTAATACTGGCTTCAATAAATCACAATTAAATGCAGAAACTGCCTTCTTAGAACAGGGCTGATAATACAGGAGGGTGTGTACATGTGTGTGTTGCAATTCAGGTTTTTTCCAGGATTTGATTTTAAAACAAGCAGTTCTTAAGCATCCATTTAAATGAGAAAGAAAACAATGCAGAAAAAGTAATTCCAATACAACACACTAAGGAAGAACTCCAGGCTCTCGTAGTTTAAATTGCCTTAAAGCAGCCACCAATGTCTGAGCAGCATTACTGGGATTACTGAGAGGAAGGAGGCTGCATGGAGCTTGCTGCAAGGCTCATTTCTCCAAGCTCTGTAGTGTGGCTTTCTTTCCAGTCCTGAGCTTTGCCTCCAAAGCTCCTGACTGTTTTGTCCTTCACTCCTGGATCTTTATCTTCCCCCTCCAAACTGGGAAGAATAGTCCCTAAAGCAACACAAATTACTGTGGACAGCAAACATCTTTTTAATAGTGTCCATATAGTAGTGTCAGTTGGGGTTGAAACAAGGGGGCACAAAATCACAAAATGGAATATAGAAACCTTTAGAATTAAAGTAATGTTAAGTTTGATGGCTTTGTAACAGTAGCAATGGAAAATTACTGAGGTGCATGATACATAGAGGAAAAAAAATAGAGTACAGCTAGAGAACATACTGAGAATTCTTGTACAAGATAAATTGTTATAGTTGACATAGTTTAAGAAAAACAGTCTAGAAGAACAGGACGCAGGGATAAGGAGTATCTGGGAATGTCAGGTGTCCAGGATGGGCTACAGTTAAACTAACCGATAAGTAGGAGGACAGGAGGATTATTATGTCTGTGGTGCTAACGAACCAATTAAGCTGGTATGAGCATCTACTGCGCATGCTTCAAAGGCTGCCAGAAGTGATGAAGATTGTTGGAAGAAGTAAACGACCCTCAGAGACCACCACCACAATTCTGTATGCATGCGGGGAACTTTCTGGAAAATGATGTAATCCATTCGTAGCTTCATGAATATGTATGTATGCCCAGTGGCTATAAAAGGACGGCTTGCGTGGCAATGGGGAGATGCACGTTAGGAGGAGCTATCCCCCGTGTCTCCCGGCGCCGCAATAAAGAATACCTGCTTGTCGGCTTGAAAACTTTGTTGGCAAGTTTGTTCCTGGAGTTTTCTCTGAATCAGGGTTAAGCTACATCTTCTACACGGGCTGGGGCCTTGCAGGAGTTTAAGTCTCACATTGCAAAGTCAAACTTACTCTTCATATGTACTTCAGGCATTACTAAAAGCTCGTCCACTGTGGGTGCTGGGCAAGGAGGAAAGGTGTTCTCCAGGCTGACTGTAGAGCCCAGGGCTCCTCACAAAGCACTACTAGAGCACTTAACTAAGGACTGCTGTTGTACATATCCTGGGATCACTACCAAAGCGCTGGCGTGTTCTTGGCTCTGCCTAGCAGCGGGGTTAGAAAGTATTCCACCAGCACTGAAGGGAAATAAATGTGCAGATAAAAAGAGTTTCACACTTTAGGCTTATGCCAGACCAAATTTCTTCACCTTTCTTGCCCTTAGCCCTGAGTCCATCCTGCCATTAGGAACACACAGACATTCCTTGAGCAGGGGCAGAACTCCTAACACAAGTAACAGTATCCCCTTCCCTATTGCTCCAAAATTACCAACACCACCAAAACCAGAGGTGTTTTGAAGAGAGATTACTATATCCCTAGTGTATTTGCTTGGATTAGCCTTGGGCAGGCTACAGCTGAAACAAGACTAATGGGTATTTTTCTTCTACATGGTGCAGATGAGTTGGAGAAGGAACATGGGCAACCAGAGCCCAGATCAGTGTTGGGACAGGGACAGGGACAGGAAAGCCCTCGAGTGCACGCTGTAGGGTAAACTAGCAGAGGTTGCTGGCAACACGAAGACAGAAAAATACATACAGAAACCAGCAATTTTAAGATTGCTTAACTATGAGTAGAGCCAGCAGCCACCAAAAAACACAAGCACCTTACAAAACCACATCCCAAAATAATCCAAAAGGAAATGAATAAAACAAACTATCCCACTTCTGCAGGTAGATGGGTGCAGAACAAAGATGAGGTCAGGGAGTGAACATACCTCTTCTTGGATCAAACATCTCTGACAGCTCTTTGGGAAGTTCCAGTACTGCAAATACAACAAACCAAATTGTTTGCATCATTACATGAATAATCTGAAGCTTTAAAGCATAATTACCTACTATCCTACTGTACTCCTTATGTACTCAAATCATCCAATGGCATCCAGAGCTCTGCTCCCACACCCCATATCACATATTTCTGCTGAAATGATAAGCAATACAATGCTTGAGCTTGACCATGTTAAAATAAACTTATAGGAGCCCCAGGACATGAACATATTATCATAGTCAGCAGCTCTAGAGTAATTGCCTGTACATAAGCCTCACATGGTGTCAGTTTCTGTGCACCCCCTTGATTTATCTTGTGTAGGATGAGGACATGCCTTTAGAAAGACAGCACAGGCCTGCTGGGATGTGGTAAACTATATGCACATCAAAGGCCTAATTCCACAATTAAGATTACTCCAAGATGAAGACAGTTCACACTTCTCAGACACACTAGCAGCAGAAGTGTGAAAGAAGCACTGGTAAAATTTCCTCTTCTAACCATAACCCTCTAACCTGGAGAGTTTCTGCAGTGAAGGTAGGCTTCAAAACATCAAAGCAGTATATCTTACCTAGAGGATGTTTTTCTCTCCCTTGGGCAAGCCTGCCATTTCCTGCCATAAAGATCTAATGTTCCTTTTTTAAAGCCCATTTCACCTCACCAAGCACACCAAGGAGCTCCCCAAATCTACACTGCAAGATCATTAAGACCACAAGACCACTAAAGACAGAGGAAGTATTCCTGAGTAAAGGAGGAAAACAGAGACAAGAGCTCTTCTACTACTGAAAACTCCCTAAGAGTTACAAAAGTGCTCTCAGTGATGGCTGCAAGTTCTATAGCTTCATGCAGTCGCAAAAATTGGACCTTGTGCTACAGAAAGGACTGAAAGGGTTAACAAATATACAGGGGGGTTAGGGTTGAACCGCTTGCTTAACAATGTTACTGCTTGTTCATGCTTATCGTACTTGCAATGTACAAGGGGATAGATCAGGACGCTCGCTTAACAATATCATTGCTCACTCATGATTATGCTAGGACAAGATATAAGGACATAGCTATTATCAAAAAGTAGGGACCGTGTCTTGATTCCCATCCTTTGGATGCCTCCGTGTATGCTAGAACTAGATATAAGGACATAGCTATTGTTAAGAAATAGGGACTGTGACTTGATTCCAGTCCTTTGGACACCTAGGCTGGCTGAAATTGGCTCTGCGCTTTGGACAAAGACCAAGCCTCCAGGAAGCATATGTAACAACCAGAGGTAAAAAGTTCAGGCTCGAAGAAGACTCATTTACTTCATCTCGAGACCATCGCTCACGACCACTAGGAGACACTGCGCAGGCGCAAAGGACTTCTTAGCTCATTATACTATGAGCCGGGAATAGGACATGAATATGTACAGACGTGTTGTACAACCTCATGCATATATATAACTTTAGAAAATAAATGTAAAGGGGAAACAACGCTGAGGTGCGCATACTTTTGGAGAAGTTATCCCCCGTGCGCCTCAGCGCTGAATAAAAAGCATACCTACTTTACAACTTTAACGAGTTGTGGAGTCTACCCACGCATCAAAAGGGAAAAATACTAACACATAACAGCAGAGATGTGTATCATGCGAGTGTCCCTTGCAGATTTTCTAGTACTGACAGCCTGGAGAAAAGAAGGCTCCTTAAGGGGAGACCTTAGAGGAGCTCCCAGTGCCTAAAGGGGCTACAAGAAACCTAGAGAGAGGCTTTTGGACAAGGGCCTGTAGGGACAGGACAAGGAGGAATGGGTTTAACCTGACAGAGGGGAGATTGAGATGAGATCTTAGGCAGAAGCTCTTTCCTGTGAGGGTGGTGAGACGCTGGCACAGGGTGCCCAGAGAAGCTGTGGCTGCCCCATCCCTGGCAGGGAGGAAGGGAGGAAGGAAGGACCTATACGGCAGGCTGGCAGTCCTGGAAGGAAGGAAGGAAGGAAGGAAGGAAGGAAGGAAGGAAGGAAGGAAGGAAGCTTCTTTCCCTCGTTCCTTCCTTCCTTCTTTCTTTCCTTCCTTCCGTCCTTCCTTCCTTCCTTCCTTCTCGAACTTCAAGGTGAATTTCCAAAGTATTGGAGGGACACACTGACCTAGATACTTGCCCATACTATCCCACACACCCTGCCCAGAGAAGCTGTGGCTGCCCCATCCCTGACAGTGTTTAAGGCCAGGTTGGACGGGGCTTGGAGAAACCTGCTCTAGCGGAAGGTGTCCCTGCCTGTGGCAGGGGGGTGGAACTGGATGAGCTTTAAGGTCTCTTCCAACCCAAACCAGCCTGGAATTCTATGGTCACAGAAAGTGGCAGGACACCAGACACAGTCACCTTCTCTCCAGGTTCCCCAGCACCCTCACAAAGAAATGCCTGCTCATCCCTTGCAGAGTGTGGCTGACAGCAAAGGCAGAATGGACTCCAGCTCCTTCCTCCAGGCCCAGTAGCCCTTCCCTTGATCCAAGCAGGATGCTTTTGGAGCAACACATTAAACAAGGGTGCATACTCACTCTCTGTGGGGTCAGTCTTGATGGGCTCAAAGCAGGTGGAGGGGCTGGGTAGGATGGAGCTGCTGTCCAGTGAGGCAGAGGACTGTTGCAGCTGTGTATCCAACCTGGCCGGCTGGCCAGCTGACATGGAGGCATTCCCGATGGGATCGACGTCATCGCTGCTCTTGGATTCTGCTGCTGAGACACTGCATTCTGGGAAGAGCCACAGACACACACAGGAAGGTCATCTCCCACCAGCCCAAAGCAAGCTGCACCACAGACTCAACCCTCATTGCAATGCTGGCCAAGCTGCATAGGAAGAAGGCTTCCTGCTTTCACCCAGCAAAACCTCCCAGGTCCTGCTGCAGTTCAACTGGAGAGCAGTCATGGTGGTGCCAGGCTACACATAAGCCAAAAACATGCTCTCACAGCAATTAACACAAGCCAATTAGTAAGCTACACCAGGAGAAACATGGCCAGCACACTGAGGGAAGTTACTATCCTGCTCAGGGCTGAGGCTGCATTTGCAATAGTGGGTCCAACCTTGGCCATCCTCCAGTTCAAGAAATATGTGGAGAACATCCAGCTGAGGGCTACCAAGTTGGCTAGAGGTATAGGGCACATGGCCTACAAGGAGGGTGGAAGCTGGGCTTGTTTAGTCAGGCAAAGAGAAGTCTAAGGGCAACGTAACAGAATCTTGCAGAGACCAGAAAGGCAGGTACAAAAATGAAGAACTTCTCAGTGATGTCAAACAACATTAACATGCACAATAGGGACAAGATGCAGCTCAAAGCATCCAGGTAGCTGGAAAAAGGAATTCGCTGAGAGAGTTCTGCAGCCCTGGAAGAGCTCACTAAGGAAACTGGGGATCTCTACTGCTGGAAGCTTTCAAAATTTAGCTGAACAAATCCACAACCAACCTAATCTAGTATTTTTGACGGTATTTTTTCAAACTGAAAGTTGAACTTGAGACTCAAAAAGACCCTATTACAAACTTCTGCCAATCTGCATGATCAGTCTCTCCCCCACAACTGCTCCTTTAGGCTGGTACCACACCCTGAAGCCAAGTGTCTTACCTTTATTACCACAGCCAGTCCCACTAATGAAGACAGAAGAGACTCACTGCAGCAGGCAGAGGTGCCCCCTTTGCCAGAAGCTGACAGTACTGCACTGTTGCAGATTATCTTAAGTTTTACTGAATCTTTCTATATTTTGTGTTTGATTATGAAGCAGTTATCTATAAGAACATCTTGGTTTAAGAAGTTAGCCTCTTAAGCCAAGGTGTCGTGGCTTAAACCAAGAAACCTCTATGTAAGCATGGGCTGCTATGTTAGCTTAGAAATTAGATGCTGTGTTGCTTGAAGTCCCTGTTCTCTGTGACATGCTAGGCTTAGTCCTTACTCTCTAGATCATAACCAAAGAACCTAGGGTCTATTGTATATAGGATGAGTTATTTCACAACCTGGCAAGGTAGAAATATAGCTGGCCAACTTGGCAACAAAACTTACTTTTAAGGTGACCTGAAGTAAACTGCCTTCATTTTAATACTAAAAAGCACACCCACAGATCAAGAAGACCCTTCCCCCAAGCAAGCGTAGTAGCAGAATAGAATGACACTGCAGATATAATTGTACGTAAATCACTAACCAATCATTGTAACTGGGAGTGTACTATCTTGTAATTTTTGTGCATAAATGTAAGGATGAAATCAGCATTGGGTATGATTGATTTCTGGAAATTCCACATAGCACCCAGCACTGCAATAAAGAAGTGCCTGCTTCTTAATGCTACATTGGTGTTAAGGAGTTTCATTCCCCCAAATGTCAGTGACATTACAACCATCAGTCCCAGTCCCAGCCCCAGCCAGGCTGAGGAATGTGCTTTCCTTAGCCCTATCATGTTTCTGCCTCTTGTAGCCTCCCTCTCACCTGTGCTTGTGGGATTCTGTGCAGGAGGGCTGTGCTCCTGAGTGCTGGCAGGTGTTGGTGTTGAGGGCTGGGTGCTGCTGGCAACAGATGCCTCCTGGAAGTGGGTGAGTGGTGGGATGGGTGGTTTTGAGGGTGCAAATGCCTTGCACTGAATGAGGTCTTCAGGGGGAGGGACAGGTAGTACAACAGGAGGAGAGCTCCAAGTATCTTTGTTTACTAACAGAACATCAATGGGACCATTTGTGCTCTTCAGATGGATCTGGTATTTCTTCTGCCTGTTTAGGCCCTGAGAAAAGTCAAAAGCAAAACACAACCATACATGAAATTCCCTTTCCAAACAGAACATGAATTTTGCAGAGACAAGACATCTGGAAAGGGTTTTTTTACAAGGGCCTGTAGGGACAGGACAAGGGGGAATGGCTTTAACTTGACAGAGGGGAGGCTGAGATGAGCTCTTAGGCAGAAGTGAGGGTGTTAGGATGTGAGAGTGGTGAGGCACTGACACAGGTTGCCCAGAGAAGCTGTGGCTGCCTCATTGTCCTGGGTTCAGCAGCAGCAGTCATTTTTCTGTCTTAGTAGCTGGTGCAGTTCCTCCAATTCCACCAACCCCGCAGACTTCTGACTCCCAGCCTGTCCAATCCATGCAACAACCCCTGCCCTGACACACATGCAAGAACACTCCTCCACTCTGCCCATGCATTTCTCACTCACCTCAGGGATGGGAACCTCCACACGTGTGCCTGATGGGGCTTGAATCGCAAGAAGGGTGGCTCCTGTGGAAACAGACTGATGATAATTAAGCACTGACAAAGAGCCCCTCCTCAAAGCCCTCAATCTCCAGAGGGCTGTCATTTACACCCATGTGACCTGCTAAGCACATCACACAGCTCCCAACCTGCCCAAGTGCCCAGGGCTCAAAGCAATCCCAGTTGTTTAGTGGCATCCTTAACAGGACTAACTTTTCCTCATAAGGGCTGGCTTAAATCCACTCTTGAGAACACCCGAATATTAGAGGAAGGATCTTTCATCCTACTGTCACAAGCTTTTAGATGTGAATTAGAAACAAGAGCCAGCAGACAGATGGTGTTGAACTAGGCTGAGGAGCCAGGCTGCCAACAGCACAGCAACCTCATGCGGGTGAACCAGTACCCCAAACCAACACTCCCCAGTCTATACTGGCAAGAGAGCTGCCTGCTCCTAGTTGTACTGGACCCTGCACAGAACCCAGCACATGCAGGGCTGGGAGCCAGGCTGACAGCATCTTTCCTTTTCATGTTCTGCAGCTCCTTAAGACCTGTTTCCTCAATAACACAATCACACGTGAGCAGCTTCCAGGCCATATCCAGGTTAGGGAAATGTGAACAGAGAAGTACTAGTGCTGTGATCGCTAGACACTCAGACTGAGAAGTTAGCAGCTTTCACTTTGAATGTTTTAGTGTGGTTAGTATTGCCACTTCACTGGTAGTCTGCAATAAGCTTCACTTGATAATTAATACAGAAGATCCCTGGAGGAGTGGGAGAGAGTGGAGAGCAGAGGAGCACAGGCTTTAATTTCAAGCAGGCAATCAAAGGTCAGATCAACAAAAAGGACAGGGATTCAAAACACCACAGGACTTCTGTCAGTAAGACGAGACTCCTTTAACAAATCTGCACATAATAAAAATGTTAAGAGACATTAAAAAAGCATAGTAAAGCTCAAAGGCACAAGCTTTAAGACCTGTTAGTTTCAAACACAGGTGCTGTGTTTGTACATCCCTTGATAGCTACATCCCAAATACTTTTACAAAATGGTGTTTCCACTTCCTCTTTGATTCTGCAATCACAGCAACAGATGGGAAAATTATGTTTCCCAGTAACTTAATCACAGAATCATAGAATCACAGAATAGTTAGGGTCGGAAAGAAGATTAAGATCATCTAGTTCCAAGTCCCTGCCATGGGCAGGGACACCTCACACTAAACCACCTCACACAAGGCTTCATCCAAGCTGGCCTCGAACACTGCCAGGGATGGAGCATTCACAACCTCCCTGGGCAACCCATTCCAGTGCCTCACCACCCTAGCAGGAAAGAATTTCTTCCTTATATCCAATCTAAACTTCCCCTGTTTAAGTTTCAACCCGTTACCCCTTGGCCTGTCACTGCAGTCCCTAATGAAGCGTCCCTCCCCAGCATCCCTACAGGCCCCTTTCAGATACTGGAAGGCTGCTATGAGGTCTCCAGGCAGCCTTCTCTTCTCCAGGCTGAACAGCCCCAACTTTCTCAGCCTGTCTTCATACAGGAGGTGCTCCAGTCCCCTGATCATCCTCGTGGCCCTCCTCTGGACTTGTTCCAACAGTTCCATGTCCTTTTTATGTTGAGGACACCAGAACTGCACATAATACTCCAGGTGAGGTCCCACAAGAGCAGAGCAGAGGGGCAGGATCACCTCCTTCGACCTGCTGGTCACGCTCCTTTTAATGCAGCCTAGAATATGGTTGGCTTTCTGGGCTGCAAGCACACACTGCCTGATCATCTTCATTTTCTCATAAACCAACACCCCCAAGTCCTTCTCTGCAGAGCAGCTCTGAACCTCTTCTTTGCCCAACCTGTAGCTGTGCCTGGGATTGCTCCGACTCAGGTGTAGGATCTTGCACTTGTCATGGTTAAACTTCGTGAGGTTGGCATCAGCCCACCTCACAAGTGTGTCAAGGGCCCTCTGGATGGCATCCCTTCCCTCCAGCGCATCAACCGAACCACACAGCTTGGTGTCATCGGCAAACCTGCGGAGGGCACACTCAATCCCTTTGTCCATGTCAGCGACAAAGTTGTTAAACATGACGTGTCCCAACACCAATCCCTGAGGGACCCCACTCGTTACTGGTCTGCAGCTGGACACTGAGCCATTGACCACAACTCTTTGCGTGCGGCCATACAGCCAGTTCTTTATCCACCGAGTATTCCACTTATCAATTTGATGTCTCTCCAATTTAGAGACAAGGATGTCATTTGGGACAGTGTCGAACGCTTTGCACATGTCCAATTAGATGACATCAACTGCTCTACCCCTGTCCATCAGTTCCTTAGCCCCATCATAGAAGGCCACCAGATTGGTCAGGCAGGATTTCCCCTTAGTGAAGCCATGCTGGCTGTCACCAACAACCATGTTGCTTTTCATGCGCCTTAGCATGCTTTCCAGGAGAATCTGCTCCAAGATTTTGCCAGGCACAGAGGTGAGACTGACTGGTCTGTAATTCCCAAATGTCGTGGTTTAAACCCAGTCAGCCACACAGTTCCTACTCCCCCCTCCCCTTTCCTTCCTTCCCCCCACTCCCAAATCCCCAAGGGAAGGGGAGGAGAATTAAAAGAATGTAAATCCCACAGGTTGAGATAAGAACAGTCCAGTAACTAAGGTATAACACAAATCATTATTGCTACCACCAATAACAATAATGATAAGAGAAATAACAAGGGAAGAAAATACAATACCATCCGCAGAATAGAGCCAGACCGAGAAGAGAGTGACCTTCCGGGTAACTCCCAGTTACCTTGCTGGTATGGAGAGACTGCAGGCATACCAGGGATGGATAGCAAAAGGAATGGAAAGGGCCATTCCTAAAACTATAAATTGATTGGCACTATATGCAATCAGACAAGGTCCTTCTGAGTCACCATCCGAATTCCTGGATCAATTGAGGGATGTAATGCGCTGTAACACACCGCTAGATCCTGGATCAGAGGTAGGAATACAGCAATTAGTCTCCTTATTTTTGGGCCAATCTACAGGAGATATTAGAGGTAAGATTCAAAAGCTACGCCCTACAGAAGGAACATAGAGATATTACTAGATGAGGCATGGAGAGTGTTTAGTAACAGAGAGGAGGATTACAAACGGGGACAGAGAAGGGTGGTAGTGGTAGTCAGAGAAGAGGAAGAGAGAAAACCCAGACAAGGACCACCTTGGTTGAGTAGGGATCAATGTGCATTGTGCAATAAATTTGGCCACTGGAAAGAAAACTGTCCGGAAAGGTGGGAGAATAAAGGAAAGAGGCGGAACAATCAGAAGGGGAGAATAGTGGCCCATATAAAGAAAGATTGACGGAGATCTGGGGAATCTACCCTAGTGGATCCACTGGTTATAATAGAGCTAGGAAAGGAACAAAAAGGGGTGGAGTTTCTAGTGGACACAGGAGCAACATATTCGGTCTTAAACCAAGCCTTGATGCCCCTGGGGGGTGATTATATTATGGTAAAAGGGGCAACTGTCCAAAGTGAAAAGGCATATTTTTGCAAACCACTTGATTCAGAGAAAACTCCAGGAACAAACTTGCCAACAAAGTTTTCAAGCTGACAAGCAGGTATTCTTTATTGCGGCGCCGGGAGACACGGGGGATAGCTCCTCCTAACGTGCGTCCCGGTATTGCTACACAAGCTGTCCTTATATAGCCATTAGGTATACATACATATTCATGAAGCTACGTATAGATTACGTCATTTTCCAGAAAGTACCCCGCATGCGTGCAGGAATGTGGTGGTGGTCTCTGAGGGCCGTTTACTTCTTCCAACAATCTGCATCACTTCTGGCAGCCTTTGAAGCATGCGCAGTAGATGCTCATACCAGCTTAATTGGTTCGTTAGCACCACAGACATAATAATCCTCCTGTCCTCCTACTGATCAGTTAGTTTAACTGTAGCCCATCCTGGACACCTGCCATTCCCAGATACTCCTTATCCCTGCGTCCTGTTCTTCTAGACTGTTAAAACTATGTCAACCATAACGACTTATCTTGTACAAGAATTCTCAGTATGTTCTCTAGCTGTACTCTATTTTTTTTTCTATGTATCATGCACTTCAGTAATTTTCCATTGCTACTGTTACGAAGCCATCAAACTTAACATTACTTAAAACTAATTCTTGTTATAAAAATTTAGTCTTGGCCATGATCTGATTTTATTATTTTATTACAATTGATTAATATCAAGAGGCACTAAGCAAGCAACACTGGGTGCGCAGGGAGTCTCCGCTCCGCCAACAACGCACACCGGGGTTTTTGGGGTACAGTCTCTTATACTTCTCGGTCCAGGGTTTCAGTTCCTGGTTTTGAGTTCCAGCCAATCCTGTTGTCTTCTTTGCCTGAAACTCGATGTGGCTCCTTTTCATTTGTTTCTGTCCCGTTGCTGGGGTTTTCTCTCCAAGTAAAGAAACATACTGAAACTTCTCGGTAATACATTAACAGAAAGATGTCTATCACAAGCTTAACCACAATCTTAGACCCGTATATTTAACAGGATGTGTCTCCTTGGTTACCTAACCCCCTTAAAGCATTCAAGCAGTTAAACAAAGCTAAAAGCGTTCCTTCTTGTTTTAACAGTCTAAATGATTAAAGAGGGGACTAGCTTATTCCCTTGTTTCTTCTTCTTTCCCATCATTACATTGACAGCAACATTTATTATAATCAAGGTCGTTTTTATACAT